AGAAATGAACGCTTCCAGCTCTGGCAGTAACTTAGTGAGTCTGAGAGGTCCAGAGACCCTGGGTACCAACTGGCAACAGGAGATGAATCTTACAAACTAGGGTTTCTTAAAGGATATACATCACCACCAGGAGAAACCACCGGGAGGACGAGTCATTCATAGATGAGTGCCCAAAAGAAACGAAACTTGAGCTGCTACTTAGATAGAATAGATCCACGGGAGTGTTGCAGTGGATAGAACACTAGCCCTGGAGTCAGAAACACCTGAGTTCAAATGTGGCCTCAGATACTTAGTAGCTGTGTGACCCTGGACAAGTCATTTAACTTCTGTTTGTCTTAATCTACTAGAGAGGGAAATGGCAAACCACTCCAGTATCCTTGCCAAGAAAACTCCAGATCTATATATCTACCCCTAATCTCTCCACTAAACTTTAGTCCTATATTAATAACTGCCTGACAACTATTTACCTTGATTTCTCACAAGTACCTTAAATTCAACATGTTTAAAACCTAACTCATTATCTTTCCTCCAAAGCCTATCCCTCCTTCAAACTCCCTACTTCTGTTGAGGGCATCACCATCTAGTTTCTAGTGCCTCCCCTCTCCTATTTATCTTCCACACAACTGTTAAGCTAATATTCCTAAAATGCAGGTCTGACAAATATAATCCTCTTCTTTAAAAATCTTCAATTGTGGGGCAGCTAGGTGGCACAGTGGATAGCACATTGGCCCTGAAGTCAGGAGGACCTGAGTTCAAATTCAACCTCAGACCAAATACTTGACATTTTTTAGCTGTGTGACCCTGGGCAAGTCACTTAACCCCAATTGCCTAAAATAAAAAATCTTCAATGGCTCTTTATTATCTTTGGGATAAACGATAAACTCCTCAGATTGGCATTTAAAGTGTTTCACAACTCAGTTTTCATCTACATTTCTATCTGATCACATATTATTCCCCTTTCCACATTCTAAGTTTTTGTCAAACCCTAAATGCTAGCTGTTGCCAGGACACAACTCTCCATCTCCCTCCTCAGTGCCTTTGCATAAGGAATTCCTTGTGCCTGAAATGCATTCCCTCCTTACATTCGCCACTTAGAATTCCTAGCTTCTTTCAGAGCACAGGTCAGCTGCTACCTCTTACACAAAGAATTTTCTGATCCCCTCTGTTTCCTGTTTCTTACTTTCTGTTTATTCATATTCTCTACCTCTTTGAATTACTTTTTATTACTTTGTATATATTTTGCATTTTCTAACTTGTATACAGTATATATTGCATAACCCCCAATAGAATGTAAGTTCCCTGAGAATAAGGACTGTTTCTTTTTTAGTGTCTCCACACTCAGTATCTTGCAAACAGTAGTTGCTTAATGAATGTTTAATTTAATTTAAGCAGACTTACTGGATCATATCTTTCATTTGGAATTGGATTCTTTTCATAGTTCATACAAACTAACCAAAACTGCCCATTGTCAGACAATGGTTCAGGGGAAAAAATAAAATACTTGTTCACATCTGAATCCACCACTGTCAAATTTGCTAAAAACACAGGAATCGTGAGATAAGTGATCTTGTTTGCATTGTATAATTGAAATCCTATTTTAAAGCAGTCATTCAAATGGAATATTTTAAAATGTAACATTCTTCAGGGATAAAAATCGTGCATGCTGTGGGGTTTGCTGTCACCTGCATTGAATGTCAGACAGGCAACAAGTTTCAGATGAGTACCTGTCATTATTAGTTGTAAAATAACCCTCAGTCACCTGTTATTTTAACCCTACAGGAGACTAGCTTGCTAATTTAATATTTTTAATTTGAGCCAGTGTCTTCGGGGTATTGAAATATTCTACTCAGTATGAATTTATATATCATATATATGATATATATATATATATATATATGTATATATATATATATGGGGGAGAGAGAGAGAGAGAGAAAGAGAGAGAGAGAGAGAGAGAGAGAGAGAGAGAGAGAGAGAGAGAGAGAGAGAGAGAGAGAGAGAGAGAGAGAATTTACATTCAGTAACTGGATATTTTCTTTCACATTTTTCCATTGGAATAGGGAATTTTTGTCAACTTCTGAAAAGAAAACTTTGGCCTTGGTAAAATGTATTTAATAGGAGTTCTTCTATTCAATATAACCTCCGTCTATACCAAAATCTCTCAGGAATCATAATCATTGTCCTAGATTTCACCCAAAGTCTAGTTTTATCCTCAGCCAAAGAAAGCTAAGGAATTGGTTGCGGTCATGTTAATGCCATAGAAGAAATTCTCATTTGCTTCTATAACACAGACACTATATTAAATTCAGGAATGCAGCTTCTAGAAATCCTTGCTAGAAACAGAAATATCTATTGCTCCCACCATGGACAATTGCCCTCCTTTTTCTACAAAACTTCTCTGTTTTCAATGATCTTTGGATTCTTTTGATTAGCTCTCAGTGAGATGCTAATCTGAGTTTTGTTGTTCAGTCATGTCCAACTCTTTGTGACTCCATCTGGGATTTTCTTGGCAATGATACTAGAGTAGTTTGCTATTTGCTTCTTCAGGTCATTTTACAGATGAGGAAACCGAGGCAAACAGGATTAAGTGACTTGCTCAGGGTCACACAGCTACTAAGTGTCTGAGGCCAGATTTGAACTGAGGGAGATGAGTCTTCCTGATTCCAGGCCATGCACTCTATCAACTTCTACATTTAGCTGCTCTAATCTGACTTTAACACTTTCCATTTAATATGGTAGTGGAGAGGAAATAGCCTAGTTAGTTTCTCCACCACCATCACCAGGGGTTCAGAGGGAATAGTTTTGCTAGCTTCTCCACTCCTCCCCACAAAAAAAAAAGTAGCACACTGGCAATGGACCTATTCTCTGCCCTCTCAACATCAGATGGTACTTGCAGGTACCCCTATAATGACCAGAGGTGAAGATGAACCAGGACTGAATTCCAGAGAGGGAACCTAAAAACAGCTATATCCAAGGGGAAGGAAGGAATATAATGAATTCCATTTCTGAAGGCAGCAGGTGGAAAAATTATCCACTCAACACCCAGGGAAATAGTGACAAAGAAAATACGTATGACTCATCAAATTGGCAAAGACAATAAAAGACAAAAACAGTAAAATGTTAGAGGCACTAAGGGAAGACAAGCAATCTATTACACCATTAGTAGACATGCAAATTGGTCCAACCATCTGCAGGGGAAGAAAAGTGGGAATTTTGAGAGAAAAATTACTAAAATTTTTCATATCCAGGAATCCCACTACTACTTTTTATCTCCTAAGGAAATTTAAAAATAACATAGAATAAAAGGCTTTTGTATAAAAATTCATCACAGAAGCACTTTTCTTTGGTGACACAAAACAAAAACAAAACCCTGGAAACAAAGGAGGTGTCCATGGATTGAGGATAGCTGAACAAATTACATCATATGAATGCCATGGAATATTACTGAGCTATAAGAAACCATGAATTTGAGAGATTTAGAGACTATGGGATGACAGCCTGAACTGATTTAAAGTGAAATAAGCAGAACCAGGAGAACAGTATGTGACACAATGATCAATTACTGATGCTGACTACTCTCACCTTTCATCAATTATTGCTTCTGAGCAACCTTACAGAAGAGGAAATGCACTTCCCTCTTCTCAGTAAAGAGCTTCAAAATACTGTACACAGGCAGTGAACAACCATTACACTGGTTTTGCTTAACTTTTTGTTAAATGGTAGTATGGCTGACCAGCTGAGGAAGAAAAGAATATTTGTATTAAAACACTAGGTATCAGTAAATTTATGTAATAAACAAATTTTAAAACAGAGAAGGAAAAGGGGGCCAGAAAAGAGGGTTAACAATAGGGATGACAAAAAAAAAAATAAAGGCCACTGAAATACATATATGTATGCATGTATAACACACAATAGAGAAAAGAAGGAAATCAAAAGGAAACAAGCATTATTTTTAAGAGTAATGTGTGCTTTTTTCTTTGCAATATGGCTAATATGGAAATTTCTACATGGTTTCATATATATATAATTAATATATTGCTTGCCTTCTCAATGGAGGGCCTGGAGGGAGAAAATTTGGAACTCAAGATTTTATAAAATTAATGTGCGGATTTTATGATGTCCTTTAAAAAAAGTATGAAAAGGAGATTCATGGTTTTACATACAATCTTTTTTGTGTGTGTTTCTGCTAGGTATATGGAAATGCTTTTTTGGCATTTAAATTCAAAATATTTTTAAAAATTTTTCTTTTAAAAAGGAAAGACAGCATGGGTACCCAGAGCAGGCCTGTCACTGGAGGTGCGCAGCAACGGGCATTGGGCACTTGATTAGAAAGTAGAGGGGAAGAGGGGGTGGCAACAGCACTTTGGGACAGTACTTGTTCAAAAGAACCAATTGTGGATAACGTGGCTACTGAATGGCACCACAGGCTGGCATCTGCATATCTGATTTCATGAAGGGCACAAGGGGACGATGGTCTCATTTTTCTGAATTGTGGTAGGCTTCTAAACATGATGGGGCCTGGGCCCAACCGGAACCAGGACTTCAGAGGCCAAGGTAGAAAGAAAGCCTCGAAGCCACCAAGGGCTCTGGAATTTAAAAAGAGAGAGAGAGAGAGAGAGAGAGAGAGAGAGAGAGAGAGAGAGAGAGAGAGAGAGAGAGAGAGAGAGAGAGAGAGAGAGAGGGGAGGGGGAGGGAGGGGGAGGGGGGGAGAGAGGAGGAGGAGGAGAGGAGGGAGAGGGAGGAGAGGGGGGAGGGGAGAGAGGGAGAGAGGGAGAGAGGGAGAGAGGGGAGAGAGGGAGAGAGGGAGAGAGGGAGAGGAGAGAGAGAGAGAGGAGAGAGAGAGAGAGAGAGAGAGAGGGAGAGAAGAGAGAAGAGAGAGAGGAGAGAGAGAGAGAGAGAGGAGAGAGAGAGAGAGAGAGAGAGAGAGAGAGAGAGACACGCAAGGAAGGGAGGGGCAGCTGACAGAGGCCCGGCACAGGCCACTGCGCAAGCGCACTGGCCTCCTGCGCTGCCCACCTTACCCCCAACTCCGCAGTGCCTCTAGTTCTCTGCTGGAGTGGGGAAGATGCAAGGATTGTAACATAACCTCTGGATTTAACATATGGAGACCCGAAGGAATTACTTCGTTTTAATACCCAGGGCCAGTCTGGGACCAGAGGCCTGAGAGCCTCTCCCCTCCACCCGACGACCTAGCAGCCTCTACGCAGCTCCGAGGGAAGGTAGAGAAGCGCGAACTACAATTCCCAGCGTTCCGTGCGGTCGTGGTCTCGTGATCGCGCGCGTGCTGGGCCAGGCCTGGCCCGGGAGGGGAGGGAGAGGCCGCTGGAGGGCGCCTGAGAGCGCGTGAGCGTGAGCGCTGGGTGGATTGAATGGGGATCTCCCCGGCGGCCAAGTTCAAGTTGGAGCTCCCGACCCGGCTGCGGGGAGCTGAGCTGCGGCGGCCACGGCCACGGGATACGAGCTTCGTCCACCGCCAGCGCGGGTGAGGGCGAGCAGATAGACGGCAGCGCTGCCAATGGACTGACAGGGACAGACTGAGGGCTGGCAGGGTCGGGGGGCTTCCTCGGGGTCGCGGGGCGGACGGAGCCGATAGGGCTAAGGAGCGGGGCCAGAGCAGCTGGAGAGGTGGGTGGGTGGCTGAACTGGGTCCCTGGCGTCTGGCTGTGTGTAGAAAGCGTGCCGGGGGGTGATGTCAGAGAACCTGGGTTCGAATTCCGACCACTTTGGTCGCGAGGCGTCTTTACCTCTGCCTGGCTGGCGCTGTACTGAGCGCTTTACAGATACCCCATTTGCTCTCTGGACCTTAGTTTCCCAATCTGTAAAATAAGAGCGTCTCAAAGTGTGTTGTAAACTCCTCGAGGGCACAATGTGTTCTACACATCTCTCTGATACTGACTCGCTGGGTACTCAATACAGTGCCTTAAAATTCGGTTTGTGTCTGATTCTTCCTGACCCCACTGGGAGTTTTTTTGACAAAGATAATGAAGTGCTTCTCCGTTTCCTTCTCCAGCTCATTTTACAGATGAGGAAACTGAGGCAAATAGGGTGAAGTGACTTGCCCAGGGTCACCCAGCTTGGAGGCTGGATGTGAATTCAGGCTCTATCCACTGTGCTACCTAGCTGCCCAGTCTTAAAGTTTACAGGTCTCCTGTTCTGAACTGGGGAGTCGGTTTAGACCAGTTTTCTCCTATGTGAAATTAAAGGGTTAGATGACCTCTCTGTTCAAACTTAATTTTATGATCCCAGCTGGGGGTGGACACACACACGCTCCTCTAAAACTATCTGATGGAAAGGCATTTACTTTTAAATTTATTAGCATGAAAATTAAGCTAGTTTGGAAGACATGGAAAGATTTGTGGAAGCATATTAAAATCGTTTTTAGTTCAACTGAAAATATTAAGAAATAAGTATTTCTCCAGCCTAAAGTCCATTCTAGACTTCTTATTCAGTCATATCCAACTCTTTGTGACCCCATTTGGGATTTTCTTCGCAAAGATACTGGAGTGGTTTGCCGTTTCCTTCTCCAGCTCATTTTACAGATGAGGAAACTGAGGTAAAACAGAGGTAAGTGATTTGCTCACGGTAACTCAGCTAGTAAGTAACAGAGACCAGAATTGAAATCAGGAAGAGGAGGCTTCCTGACTTCAAGTCTGGCACTTTATCCCCTGGACCACCTAGCTGCCCATTCTAAACTTACCTGAAGGAAGAAACTTTATTACTGGTGTAGTAGATAGAGGGCTTGACCTGGAGTCAGGAAGACCTCAGTTCAAATCCAGACTCAGATACTTACTAGCTGTATGACCTTGGAAGAGTCACTTAACCACTGTCCCAGTTTCCTCCAATGTAAAGTGAGGGTAATAATAGCATGTACCAGGTTGTTACAAGGATCAAATGTGATAATGGCTGTAGAATGTTTAGCACAGTACCTGGTGCTATATAAAGACTAGCCATTATTATTAGGAAATAATCTTTCCTCTAAAATCCTTTTCTCTCTTGTCTTAGAACCCCTTTCTTTTAAGAAACTGTGCAAAAGGTCAAGAATAAAAGCTAAAGCTTCATGTGCATTTATCCTTATAAAATGTCATCTTGTTTTGATATGTATGTGTGTGTTAATAATATACATATTATGTATATATGTATACATATATATAGATTAAGGGGATAACCAGCTTTAAAAGGGAAATGCCTCTAGCCTATTTAAAAGCATCGCTTTTCCCTGTCCCCTGAAAGGATTAATGACCCAACTAAAGCCATATCCCCTTTCCCCATTTCCCGATGAAATTAGGGTTTTGTTCTGAGGGTAGAGATCCTTTGATTATTTCTCTGTGAAGTCACACCTCAGTTAACCCTTTTGGGGAGGAATCAAAAAAAGATTAAATGGTTTTAGGAAATTGATTCCTCAAGGGCATGACTGAAAGTTAAGAGAATATTGTTCTAGATTGCTAAAGCAAAATGTTAACTTTTACCTTACAATATTTTATCATATTGTAAAAATTTCCTCCTCCAAGATTCTTGTAAATGTTACATTAAAATGTCTTATAAGTTGGGGAGTTATGGCAGGGGGCATAAGGGGGTTCTCCCATTTTCCCCTCTAAATTGAAAAAAAATGCTTCGTTTTAGTAGGAGGGAGATAAATTAATAAAGATGGTTTCTGGCAGACTTGTACCTAAAATGCATAGGATAGTATGAATTTCTTTTTTACTCTATGGTCACCTGCTCCAAAAGACCACATTTCAGTGGCAGATGTTCCCTATAAGCACTCCACTGTTCGTGTATACATACTGAACACTTACCACTAGAAGTGTCAGCCATAATCATATTCTGCCCCCTTATTATTCTGCTCAAAACCTGACCTGATTCAGTAGCATCCTCCTGGATTCATAGAATGTCAGAGCTGGAAAAGACTTAAGAGCTCATCTTGTCCAGCAGTTCTCAAACTTTTTTTTGTGTTCAGAGCCCCTTTATACTCTTAAAATTATTGAGGATCCCCCAAAATGCTTTTGTTTATATGATCTAAACAAAACCAAGACAGCTGGGTAGTTCAGTGGATAGAGTGCTAAAGCTAGAATCAGGAACCCCTCCAGCATCAAAAACTTATTAGCTATGTGACTCTGAGCAAGTCACTTCCCCTCCTCTCAGCCTCAGTTTCCTCAACTGTGAAAAGATGATAATAATAGCTCTTCCCTCCCAGGGTTTAGTGAGGAATGAGATATTTGTGTACAGCTTTTCGGCCCTTAAAATGCTATGTAAATGCTAGCTTTTGTTATTAATAATAGGTGTTAAATTCTGGGACTTTGAAGATAATTTGTTATGTGACAGCTAGTGAAGAAATCACAGGATAGAGGGAGATTTCATGAGGGGTTTCAAAGAGATGAGAGTGGTCATTGCCACAGGGAGAAGAGGGAACTGTGTTTTTCCATCACACATTAGCTGCTCTAATCGATGTAATGGAAAGAGCAATTGACTGAGGATGAGGAGGATGAGGGCTACCTCAGGTTCTGATCTGGGCTCTGCCACTAACCAGCTTCTTGACCTTAGACTATCACTTTAGCTCCCTAAGTCTGTTTCCTCCTCTGTAAAATGAAGGTCACTAGGTGACCTTCAAGCTCTAACACTCTGAGTCTTTGTTGCTCTGAGGTTTAGAAAAGGCAACAGGATGAGCTGCTTCGAAAAAGAAATAATGTCTCAGCAGAAGGGTAAAAATTATGTGCAAAATGTATACTTTTACACATTGATCCTCATCCTGTTGGTGGTATACAAATCTGTAGGCTTAAGGTCAAAGCCAGGGAAAACATTTAAAAGGAAGTATGTAATTTGGGGGGTTCATTTGTGGATCTACATATCAAAGAGCCAAAAAGAACCAGCCTCCTAATTTTTTCCAATCCTGAGGAAATCTTTCCATGTTTGCTGTCTTTTGAGAAACTGGGGCAATAAGCTTCTGATATCTACTATCTGTACAGCTACTTCCTGCATCCTTACTACTTCCCATTCTAGTCATGAAGACTGGAATAGATCCATCATTTCCTAGACCAAAAGTGAACAAGAGGAAGTCTATAAGCAAAGAAAGCATTGAATTTTTCTTCCTTCTCTTGTGAAAATAGTATTTCTCCCTGGGATTCAGCTCTGTCTCCCATTTGGTAGAGATAACTTCTCGAGAGATGATGTGGGGCCCTGAATTTGAAATCAGAAGAGCTGAATTTAAGTACCAACTCTTCCTCTTAATTAGGTAAAGAACCTCCAGCAAGGCCACCTCTGGTGCTCAGCCTCTTCATCTATAAAAAGAGAGATAAAGATTGTACTTCTCTCACGAAGATGATGTAAAGACTAGGTGGAAACAAATGGCACTTTACCTTAGGCGCTTTAGTCATCCTTCCAAAACTGAGAATGGAAGGGTAATTGGAAGGGAATGGAAGGACTGGCTAGGTGGTTAGGAAACCCTTTTAAGGAGAGAAAATAGGGGGAAGCATTTCCCTCTAAAGTGTTTTCTTTTCCTTTCACATTTCTTTTCTGTTTTTCAAGGCTGTAACAATTTGGTGGGGTGATACAGTAGAATACTGGGCTTAGAGCCAGAAAGACCTGGGTTTAAATCCTGCCTCTAAAACTGAGCCTTCTGTAAAATGGGAATAAAGCTCACAGTCCCTACCTCACAAGGTTACTTGTGAGACTCTGTGAGATTAATAGTGTAAACCGTTAATAAATCTCAGTTATCATCAAGGCTCCATTCAAAAACGTCTTCAAAACTTCAGAACACTCAAAAAGGTTTTTTGGTTTGTTTCTTCCTGTTTATAACAGACCTTCCTCTCTATCTTGACCCACTCCACCCACCATTGACGATCCTTCATTCCTTTTTCTTCTTGAGACCTGGTGCTTTTAGACAGGGTCGATCATAGGATCTCATCTGAATTGTCCGTAAACCTGCTGAGACTGTGGGGATTGCTGGTTAGGTCTGTTATTTCCTCTCCTCTGCTCTGTTCACAAAATCAAGTTCTCTCTGAAAACACAAATCCTTACCAGGAGAACTCAGAAATGCTTGCTAGTTTGAATTTGGGCCAGCTTCCTGAGCCTGAAATGTAACAGAGATTGTTCTTCCTTCCTGCTGAGTAAGCTGAGATCTCAGTGTTCGTTGTGAACCTCTTCTGGTGGCAGAAAAAGGGATTAATGAGAAGATGAAACTTAGCTTGATTACTTGCTACTACCTCTGGAGGTCTGGCGGAGATTGTGGGAATAGCTAAGGAGCCTTGGGGATTAACTTTTCATTTGTTATACATGGTGCCTTAATAATTCCCCAGTGCCATGCAGGGGCTGGAGTTCAGTTTGGTTCAGGTAGCTGTAATTCCATAAAATTGAGATACATAAGCACAGTATAGTAGAAAGACTAGGAGGAAAGGAGGGTTGCTTGCATTCTAGCCATGCCACTAACTAACTAGTTGTATGTTTCCTTGACTCTGAAATTAAGGGGGCTGGGTAGAGAAATCCTCCCTT